GTTGGGGGGGGGGGGGGGGGGAGAAAGAATGAGATAAGAGATAAGGACACGATAATATAGATAATTTTTTATAGGCCTTGTGAGAACTTTTCTGTGGAACAAAGACTTGTTTATAAATACATAGAGTTTCATGAGTACATTATTTTCATATCTGACTTTTACTATCGCCGGTGAGCTGTTACAACTAAACCCATAAACACTGGTCAGAAGAGACAAAAATCTGTTCCCTTCTTTCAACAAATTATGGTACTCAAAACTATTCACATCTAGTTTTCGTTGCTTTTTTTTTTTTTTATTAAACTTTTTATCAATATTTTAGATTTGGATTTCGACAAAGTTTTTCTTGACCTCATACAGCCGACACCAAGGACTAAGAAACGGCAAAATTCACAATTTTCTGCTTAGTACACTGTACAGGAAAGTCAAAAGTCGTAGGGATAGATGCACTAGGACAGGAGCAGGTCACAGTAGAGGGAAATGCACTAGAAGACGTGGAATCCTTCTGCTATCTTGGGAGAATAATTGACAGTGAGGGAGGAACAGGCGCTGAAATAAAGTCCCGCATTGGAAAAGCACAAACTGAATATAATTCATTTCTTCGAATAGGATTTGGAGGACCAGGGATATCTCACTACGGACAAAGCCGAGGATCTTCAACCCAAATGTGAAGTCAGTCTTGTTGTATAGATGTGAGACGTGGAACGTATCTGAGACGTATAGATGTGAGACGTGGAACGTATCTCAGACGTATAGATGTGAGACGTGGAACGTATAGATGTGAGACGTGGAACGTATAGATGTGAGACGTGGAACGTATAGATGTGAGACGTGGAACATATAGATGTGAGACGTGGAACGTATCTCAGACGTACAGATGTGAGACGTGGAACGTATCTCAGACGTATAGATGTGAAACATGGAACGTATAGATGTGAGACGAGGAACGTATAGATGTGAGACGTGGAACGTATCATCTCAGACGTATAGATGTGAGACGTGGAACGTATAGATGTGAGACGTGGAACGTATAGATGTGAGACATGGAACGTATCTCAGACGTATAGATGTGAGACGTGGAACGTATCTCAGACGTATAGATGTGAGACGTGGAAGTATCATCTCAGACGTATAGATGTGAGACGTGGAACGTATCTCAGACGTATAGATGTGAGACATGGAACGTATCTCAGATGTATAGATGTGAGACGTGGAACGTATCTCAGACGTATAGATGTGAGACATGGAACGTATCTCAGACGTATAGATGTGAGACGTGGAACGTATCTCAGACGTATAGATGTGAGACGTGGAACGGATAGATGTGAGACGTGGAACGTATCTCTGACGGGCATAAAGTGAAAGAGGTTCCAGGTTTTCTGGAACAAGTGTCTAAGAAAGTTACGGAGGATCACACGGACAGACAGGATCACCAACGAGGAAGTGTTAAAAGGAACGAGACGGAGCCTAGTTAGAGATCAGGAGGGAAGAAGGCAGTGGGGATGGATTGGACATACCTATTGACAATGACAATCTTTATAATTGACATACGTATTGACAATGACAATCTTTCTAATTCATCTCACAGGGAGAAAGTTGTCTTGGTCTTCTACAGTGGCAGTAAATGTTACAAAGGTTAGGTGCACTCACGCATACACTCACAACAAGACAGGACTTTAGTAAATACATGTCTCACGTGCTGAAACTACCCGCTCCGTAAATTATTCTCTCTCTCTCTCTCCCTCTCTCTCTCTGTTTCATTTGTAGCACTGTGTGTTCAGTAACATCACTGCAGTTGGTACGAATGAATTTCTATATGTCAGTTCTTGCTTTTTTTTTAAATGTATCGTTTACTGCGGGTCGATAGTTGAAATTCCGATGTCAGTGGGTGGCTATGGTCACTAAGCATTATTTCCGCCTTTTCTAGAACGTTTGTCTTGTGCAGATAGTCAAAGTTACTTTGGTCTCTACAAATTGCTCTTGATGCCTTTCTTATCAACTTGTTTATCTTTATAATGTGCTGCCTTCCCAACTTGCTACCATAGCAAGTGATACCAACATTTATCAAAGTTTCTATTGAGGTGGTGTAGAAAATCTGAAGGATGGATGGATTCACATTAAAAGACCTAAGTTTCCTCAGAAAGTACAGCCTCTGATTTACCTTTTCAACGATATTGTTTATGTTATTTTGCCAAGTAAATTTGTTGTCAATTGTAAGACCAAGATCTTTGTATGAATCCGTGATTTCAATTGTTTCGTGTTCAATTACGAGTGGTGGGATTTTTGTTTTTTCTCTTCTAAAATAAGAAATCATTTCCTTTGTTTTTTAGAGCTTCACTTTCAGGACGTCAAGCAACTGCATAACAAGGAAGTGTTAGACTGGAACCCACTGGGGAAAAGATCACGGGGAAGACCACGTGGAACATGGCGAAACAAACACACAAACAAATAAAACCCAAACAAAAAAAGAAAAACTGAGCCACCAGAACAAACAAACAAAACATCACCGAAATCAAACAAACAAACACATTAACCTACTGCCAAACAAACAAACACATTAACCTACTGCCAAACAAACAAATACATTAACCTACTGCCAAACAAACAAATACACCAACAAACACTCAAAGAAACAAACACATTAACCTACTGCCAAACAAACAAACACATTAACCTACTGCCAAACAAACAAACACATTAACCTACTGCCAAACAAACAAACACATTAACCTACTGCCAAACAAACAAACACATTAACCTACTGCCAAACAAACAAATACACCAACAAACACCAAAACAGACAAACACTCAAAGAAACAAACACACAAACAAACAAAGACAGAAGCCACTGACACATAAACAACCAAACCCACACACACAAACAAACACATACTCACAAACAAACACACACACACAAACCCACACACACACACAAACACATACTCACAAACAAACACACACACAAACTCACACACACACACACAAACAAACACACACAGACACACACACACACACACAAACAAACACAGACACACGCACAAACAAACACACACACAAACAAACAGACAGACAAAGAGACACACGACGTACCCCCCTCCAGCAATAGATAAGGGCCACATCTTGCAGCATGAGATCGTCCGTCAGCTCTTCTTTGGCGCGGTACATTTCAATCTGGGGGGAGGGAGGGAGGGGAGAAAGAAGGTGAGGGAAGGAGGGGGTAGGAGTG